CAATCGCCCTTTGCAGCAAAAAACGTGATGAACTTCATGCGCGCGCGCGTCGCTGCGCGTGCATGCTTCATTTCTTTAAACGCAACCATCGGTCTCGTGGGGGCTCCTAAACCGAGTTCCCCGAACATGTATAACAAACATCTGAAATGGCAACGTGGTTGTGGACGAAAGGTCTGTGCGCAAGCACGTGCGAATCCTGAAAGAACCATCGAGTTTCAACATGTGCATCAAATGCGACGGGCCACTCGCGCGCGCATGTCAAAATCATTCGAACGCCTTTGCGCGCGTGCTGGAAAGGCTTGGTCACGGTCAACTAGTCCCACCCACCCGTCCGCTACGCGCGCATGTCGAAATCCCGCAAAACCTGCATCGCCGACACGCAGACACCATCATCGTCATCACCAGCATCGACGCCGTCATCGGCCCTGCCGTCGTCAGTGTCTTCGTCGCCAGCATCGCTACTATTATCATCGTGTCTGCCGGCGTCGACGCTCCCATCATACCCCGCCCGCCCGAGTCACCGACTCGCGAGAAATTGCCCGCTCGTTAGCGCGGCAAGCGAGACGCGCTGGGAAGTCCCCAGCGGTCAGCGCCACGGCGGCCGCGTCGGTCGCGCCAGACTAGCTGGCCGCTCTGCGCGCGAGCCTGCGCGCGCTCGCGCGGCCGCAGCGATGCACCAGTCAGCACCAAGCAGTCATCGCAATCGCCGCCGCATGGGTTTTGCAAACTAAGTTTCCGGTGGGCGCGTGTGGGATGATTGCGCGAGAGGTGGAGTTGACTTTTTCGAGCTCGGCAGTGCTAGTTGCAGCCCGCAGAGCTCCACACATGTTGCGCAACACGTCGCATTGCGTAGGTTCGACCACATAGATTGCACCACGTAGATTACACAACGTGGGTCGCACCGCATGTATTGCACAGCATGTATTGCTAGACGCGCACTGTTTGGTGTCCACGATGGCTAACACGTTTGTGTAGAGCTTCGTTTACTATTGTATAGGAAGGGTCTCCGTTCCTTAACCCGAGCCTCCCAAATGAGGTCCGAATAGACGGAGTTGGAGGATCGCGCCGCGTCGCCGGTGCAGCGGAGATGCGGTTCGACGCGGAGCCCGCTTTTTTCCACGCCGGCGGTGCCGATTCCTCGCCGACGTCGCCGGTGTATCGGCGATGCGGCGCGAGCCTCTCTCCCATTTGCCCGGGCACCCCCCGGGAGACGTTCCCTTCCCTGGGGCTCTTTGCAGCGGGCATTCCGCACTGGAGGCTGGCCTGCCGGCGGGTGCCCGATGGAAGCGATGGGCTCACCGATGGTCCTTGGGAGCCGTGGGGTGCCGGACGGGACCGAGTATGGATGGGAAGTATGCCCTTACGTGCCTTCTGGCATTATGTCGGGCGTGTCCCCCTACAGGGGGATTTTCGACGAAAAATAAATTATTCACTGCGTGGAGCTCCCCATATGTGCATCTACTCGCATGGACCTGTCCGCCGTGAATGTCTAGGCGCAAGCGCTTTCGAATATTAACGTGCGTCAGTTGTGACGGTCTGGACATCAATCTAACTGCGAATGAATTGGAGTGTGAATGAGCCTCAGTAGTACAAGCGCGTCTCTGTGCATGAGCCTGGGGCCTCCTGGGGCCTCCTGAAACCTACTGGGGCTTCCTGGGGTCTCCAGGAGCCTCTTGGGACCTCCTGGGACCTCCTAGGAAGGTTTCGTGCCCCAGGAGAGGCGCAATCTATAGCAACAGACGTACATAAAACATTGCGGATTAGAGCCACAGGAGAAGGGCAATCTATAGGAACACGCGTAAAACACCAAGGACTATAGAAACATACGTAGAACATCAAAGAATCGTGCTCCAGGTGAGGCCCAATCGATAGGAGCATACGTAAAACACATGGGATTGGAGCCACTCCTGTTGCCTTCTGAGGCCTCCTGCTCCTGGGGCCTCTCGGGGCCTCCCGTTGCCTTCCGAGGCCTCCTGGCGCTTCCTGTTGCCTCCTGGGGCCTCCTGTGGTTTCCTGAAGCCTTCTGGAGCTTCCTGGGGCCTCCTGGAGCCTCTTGGGACATCCTGTAGCCTCTTGAGTCTTTCTGTGGCCTCCTGATGCCTCCTGGGACCTCATGTGGTCTCCTGGAGCCTCCTGGAGCCTGTTGGAGCCTCCTGTGGCATCCTGAGAAGAATCTGCGCCCACGAGCCTGGCCACCAAAACTAGCAAACCGATCGAGCCATCCTCAAAATCTGGCCCACCTGGGGGGTGAAAATGAGCGCCTCGCTCGAGACATCCTCCAAATCTGCTCCGACAGCGAAGGATGTTGGGCACAGAAACAGGCAAACCGCCTGAAGCCTTCTGGAGCTTCCTGGGGCCTCCTGGAGCCTCTTGGGACATCCTGTAGCCTCTTGAGTCTTTCTGTGGCCTCCTGATGCCTCCTGGGACCTCATGTGGTCTCCTGGAGCCTCCCTGTTGGAGCCTCCTGTGGCATCCTGAGAAGAATCTGCGCCCACGAGCCTGGCCACCCAAACTAGCAAACCGATCGAGCCATCCTCAAAATCTGGCCCACCTGGGGGGTGAAAATGAGCGCCTCGCTCGAGACATCCTCCAAATCTGCTCCGAAAGCGAAGGATGTTGGGCACAGAAACAGGCAAACCGCCTGAGACATCCCCACTAAATGGCCGCGAACGAGCCCGTGCAACCACCCCTGGCGGCTCCCCTTAGGGGTGCTGAAACCAGCGCCCCGCCTGAGACATCCTCACAATCTGCTCTCCAAGCGAAGGATGTTGGGCCCAGAAACAGGCAAACCGCCTGAGACATCCCCACAAAATGGCCGCGAACGAGCCCGTGCAACCACCCCTGGCGGCTCCCCTTAGGGGTGCTGAAACCAGCGCCCCGCCTGAGACATCCTCACAATCTGCTCTCCAAGCGAAGGATGTCGGGCCCAGAAACAGGCAAACCGCCTGAGACATCCCCACAAAATGGCCGCGAACGAGCCCGTGCAACCACTCCTGGCGGCTCCCCTTAGGGGTGCTGAGTATGAGTAAGTCTGTGTATGAGTAAGTCTGTGTGTGAGTAAGTCAGGGTATGAGTAGGTTTGTGTATGAGAAAGTCTGTGTATGTGTACGTCTGGGTGTGAATAAGTCTGAGTATGAGTAATACTGTGTATGAGTAAGTCTGGGTATGAGTGAGTCTGTGTATGAGTACGGCTGGGTGTGAGTAAGTCTGTGTATGAGTAAGTCTGTGTATGAGTATGTCTGAGTGTGAGTAAGTCTGAGTATGAGTAGGTCTGAGTATGAGTAAGTCTGAGTATGAGTAAGTCTGTGTATGAGCAAGTCTGAGTATGAGTAAGCCCGACAGGAGGGGAGGAGAAAAGAGGAGGAGGAAGGAGGAGGAGTAGGAGGCGTCCAAGTAATAACAAGAACCCCATCTTAGGATATGGGGAAAAATTCGACGAAAAATAAAAGATGCCCCAAAATTAATTGAACAATAGTCCAAAAATTGTCTGGAGAGCATCTTTTAATATTTTTTCACCTTTTTGGCGAATTTTTGGGGTATTCTTTATTTTTCGTGGAAGATCCCCCTGTAGGGGGACACGCCCGACATAATTCTGGCAGCAAGATTTGTTCTCGCAAGTGCCTGCTGCGCGACGCGGCTCCGGCTGCGTCGCTGGGCCCCGCAGGGCCTGACCTCCTCAGTCTCGGCCCTCTCCGCCAAGGGCCAGCTCTGCATCCCGAGCCGCCCTCTGATGGTCCCAGGGCCCGAAAATAGGGTCTTCCTTTTTTTTCTGTACGTTGAGAGGTCATCTGTACGTTGAGAGGTCTGGGATCGGCATCTTCACCACCCAACGCCCAACGCCAAACATCTGCAATGTTTTCTCAAGGCAGTGCTTGCACTCAGTTTTTTTTGTTTGTTTCTTCTTCTGTTTTTTGTTTTTTGTCTAATCAAAAAAAGGTATTCTGGGTTCTCGCCAAGTTGCCGCCTCGTTGGGCGTCGTGGGCGCCTCGTGGGCGCTTCGTTCTCTTTAGGGGGGTCAGCCGAGGCTGCGCCACGCTGCCGCTCGTGCCGCCTCTCGTGGGCGCCTCGTGGGCGCCCCGAGCGCTTGGTGGGGGGGGGGGTTGCCGAGGCTGCGCCGCTTTGCCGCTCGCGCCGCCTCGTGGGCGCTCGTGGGCGACCCGTGCGCTGGGGGGGGGGTTGCCGAGGCTGCGCCACGACACCACAGAGCTTACACCGCAGAGCTTGCGCGACTTAGCTTGCGTTAAGTTGCATAGCGTACACCGCATAACTTACGCAGCATAGCTTGCACCACGTAGCTTAGGCAGCATAGCCTCCACCATCGGCTCATACGACACAGGGCATAGCCTACACGGCTTATGCTGCACAGCACAGCCTACCCCCATAGTTCACACTGCATAGCTTACACGACATGGCCTACAACCCTCAGTTTGCACCGCACAGGTGTCACCTCCACATCTCAATGACTCGCTGCCTGGTGTCCACAATGGCTGACAGGAGGAGGAGGAGGAGGAGGAGGAGGAGGAGGAGGAGGAGGAGGAGGAGGAGGAGGAGGAGGAGGAGGGGAGGAGGAGGAGGAGGAGGAGGGATGGGGGAGGAGGAGGAGGAGGAGGAGGAGGAGGAGGAGGGGAGGAGGAGGCGGAGAGGAGGAGGATGAGGAGGAGGAGGAGGAGGAGGTGAGGAAGGAGGAGGAGGAGAGGAGGAGAGAGGAGGAGGAGGAGGAGGAGGAGGAGGAGGAGAGGAGGAGGAGGAGGAGGAGGAGGAGGAGGAGGAGGAGGGAGGAGGAGAGAAGGAGGAGAGGAGAAGGGAGGAGGAAAGGGAGGAGGAGGAGGAGGAGGAGGAAGGGAGGAGGAAGGGAGGAGGAAGGGAGGAGGAGGAGGAGGAGGAGGAGGAGGAGGAGGAGGAGGAGGAGGAGGAGGAGGAAGCGAAGGAAGGGAGGAGGAGGTGGAGGAGGAAGAGGAAGAATGGCTGACATCTTCGTTCTGTTCGGACGCCCTGGGGAGGCGCACGCCTGCGCGGCGGAGGAGGCGCTGCGCGCCGTGGGGCGCCGGGCCGCCGAGACCGGGGCGTCGGTGCACATGCCCATGCGGCGGCGGCCGAGCAGTCGGGGGGGGGAGGGGAGGGTGGCAGAGCTGATCGTTGGGGGCATATTTTTAATTTTCCGTCCAAAATCCGCCGGTAGGGGGACATGCCCGACCTAACCCTTGTCCTGGCTCTCCTCGTCGGCGCACCCGACCGCGCGGCGCTCCCGCCGGCGCGCCCGCGATGTCCGAAGGCGGATGGGGGGGGATCGTCCCTTGAGTAGGGCCGAGGGTCAGAGATCAGGCGATCGCAAAGATGAATCAAGGGGGCGTGGATTCGCGACGGGTCCCGTTTCCATGGGAGATCACGGATTTCCGCCCCCGAGCCAGGCGGCACCGGCCGCATTTCGGGGAGGGCACCTCCCCTGGTCCATGGATTTGGCGACCGCGCGCCGAATACGTGCATCGCTCATCCACATCTGCGCGCCCCCGCAAGAGTGGCCCGGCAGCCAGAGTGGCCCATGACCCTTGGCGCGGTGGGTCAGCAGAGGGCGAGGTGAGAGAAAGGGTACTACTTGGTCTTTGGGGGGCTCCCTCGTCGCCACGTGGCTGGGCGCAGCTCGGAGCACTGGTGCGCTGGCGCCCCTGGGAGGCGTCTGGGGGCCGAGCGAGCTTGAGCCGTCGCCGTGCCAGCTCGCCCTGCTCCGACTCTGGCGCGGGAAGGGGTTCGCCCCCGCAGCACCTCGGCGGCGAGCGCCTGTTTTTAGGCCGTGTGCAGTGAGGGACCGAGCCGAGGGCGGCGCCAGGCGTGCGCCGGAGCCGATCCCGGCCGGAGTTGATGTATATTTGCGCGCCCTCAGGTCTGGTTGACCCAAAAGGGGGTCCAGCTGAAAGGGCGTGGTGCAATAGAGTTGTTGGTGCGATCGATGTGGGGGGGGGTTGCAATAGATTTGGGGCCTGCAGTACATTCCGGTGCGCGGATGCACTGCTGGACTTTCACGTGAGAGACATGAGCTGCAACCCAATTCAATACATTTCTCTGGCGCAATACATTTGCAATACACTTGCTCCACATCTAGTGCGCCACCCCCTTTCAGCTGGAGCCCCTTTTGGAACAGCCGAATCCGGGCTCAGCCAGGGCGGCAGGAAGGCGCACACGCCGATCCTGGGTGCAGGGTCCGCCGGGCCAGGATCGGTGGCGGTTTCAGTCCCCCCTCGCCACCATGCCTCGCCCTGGATTTCTCAGTCAGCCCCCCCCCCCCATGGTTCTACGGGGCGCTGGCTACAGCTGGGAGCAGCTGGGTCCGCTTGCCAAGAAGGTCGCCAAGGAGCGAGGAGTGGAGTTCTTCATCTACAGATAGGGTGCCTCCTCGCTCCATCTCCGCCTCTTCCTCCTCCTCCTCCGCCTCCTCCTCCTCCCTTCCCCTCCTCATGTCCCCCTCTTCCTGGCCCCCTCCCCCTTCCCCTTCTCCTACTGCTTTTCCTGCCCCCCTTCCTCACCCTCTTCTCACTGTCTCCTCCTTTTTCTCCTCCTCCTCCTTCTTTCTCATCTTTATCCTCCTCCTCCTCCTTCTTTCTCATCTTTATCCTCCTCCTCCTCCTCCTCCTCCTCCTCCTCCTCCTCCTCCTCCTCCCTTCCCCTCATCATTTCCCCCTCTTCCTGGCCCCCTCCCCCCTTCCCCTTCTCCTGCTGCTTTTCCTGCCCCCCATTCCTCACCCTCCTCTGACTGTCTCCTCCTCTTTCTCGTCCTCCTCCTCCTCTTCTTTTCTTATCTTTATCGTCCTCCTCCCCCTCCTCCTCCTCCTCCTCCTCCTCCTCTCCTTCTCCTCCTCTCCTCCTCCTCCTCCCTCCTCCTCCGCCTCCTCCTCCCCCTCCTTCTCCTCCTCCTCCTCCTCCTCCTCCTCCTCCTCCTCCTCCTCCTCCTCCTCCTCCTCCCCCTCCTCCCCCCTGCAGCCGCGGCGCGGCCGCAGCCCCGCGCTCCGCCCCGGCTCGGCCGGCCTCCGAGCGCGCAGGGGGGGCGCCGCGGCAGAAAAGGGGCCCGGGCCCTCGTGCTGTCCGCGGTGCCGCCGACGACGCGTAGGATGGGGGGCGACGACGGCGGGAGGAGGACGCGGCGGAGGAGGCAGCGCCACCCAGACCCCCTCGAGCAATGATCGAATCATGACGGGAGTTTTTTTTTTTTTTTTTTTTTGTTTTTCCTTTCTTCCATTTTCGATCTTCGGCGGCCTTTCCCGGGCCACGGGGGCGTCAAAAAACGGCTCGGGATGAAGACTTGGTCCTGGGGGAGCGGGTCGAGGCCTCGGGGGTCGACGTTAGGAGCAAATCATGGCGTCGGGGGTCTGGCTACGGGCTCGAAGGCCCCAGAAGGCGGCCCCGCGGCGCACGACAGGAGGGCGGGGTCGCGAGCAAGGTCACGACGGGGGCTTCCCAGACCTCCCCGCGTCGTGAACAAAGGCACGATTGGGGGGGGGGGGGGGGCGGAACGTTTTTCCCGCCCCTGGGAGGCCCCGGGACCGTCAACACAGCGACTCGGGATGAGCAGCTGGGCCCGGTGAGTGGGTCGAGATCTCTTGGGGGCCGCGCCGTGCAAAGGGCGCGGCATCGAAGGGGGTCTGGGCTCTGCGCCCCTCGGCGCCGGGGCAGCGGGCATCGCGCTGTCCCTGGCGAGAGGCGCGGGAGGCCTGGGCTCGGGGTCGAGGGCCGATGGGGTCCACTGGGATTATGCCGGGCTCGTCGAAAATCCCCCTACAGGGGGATTTTCGACGTAAAACAAAAAATACCCCAAAAATGCCCCCAACAGGTTAACAAATACTCAAAAAATAGTTCCCAGACTATTTTCGGATTATTTTTTGATCATTTTGGAGGTATTTTTCATTTTTCGTCGAAAATCCAATGTATAGGAGGACAGGCCCGACTTGACACTGGGAGCGCACCTGGCTCGGTCTGTGCGTGGTGCTGGTTCTCCCGGAGGGCCTCCCGGCCTCCTCTCCGCCGTCCTACTCTCGGGGGCGGCAAAGAGGGGGGTGATGACTAGGGGGGGGTGGATATCATGGCGGGGGCCATGATATCTCCCCAGATTTCCTGGTGCCTCGTCTTGTTTCATTACGTCCCTGGCTCCCCCGCTGGGCCGCGCACATGCCGCCGGTCATGATTTGCACCCCCCCCTCTTGGACACCCCCCTCTTGGCCGCTCCCGATACTCCGCGGGAGCAAGGCACGGCGTCAGAGGTCGGGGCCTGAGGGGGGCACGATGCGCAACAAAAAGGGTGGCGTACTGTGCATGGCATGATATCGTGTGTATGTAACAGCTCGCAGCGGATGTCAAAAGCAAGGGTGGGCAACCTTCCCAGATTAAGGATGGGCAACCTTGCCAAGGGTACCCTTGCATCCTTGCCTCCTCGGGCCATCCTTGGCCGCTTTCGTTGGCCGCGCCCCGCTCGAAGAAAGCTTCGAACTGGGTGTCCGAGGCCCTTGCATCCTTAGACCGCGCATCCTTCTGATACGGGCCGAGTGTACGTTGTGCAGCGGCACGTCCAGTGCCCCTGTATGCTTCTCCCTGAGGTGTGCCCCGATGGGGCCCCCCTTAAGGCGGGCGTGTCCCTCTACAGGAAGAATATTCAATAACACCTGGGAAAACCCCAATCAGTGGATGATTTGAAAATTAGTCATATGGATCTTGAGGTCCATTGTGAGATCGATAATGGGATCGATAGTTGACGACTGTAAGGTCGATAGTGGAATCGAATAGTGGAATCGATGGTATGCATCTTGCCCGCACTGCTGTCCTCCCTCTACCTCCTTCTCCGTGGCGTCTGTTCCGTGCTTATGTCAACGGTTGGCCGAGCCATCGGGGATGCCCACGCAACGCGTTTGTTTTTTTCTTTTCGTTCTTTCTTTGCCAAGTCATGAGGCGCACAGCGGAGACGTTTTAGGAAAGGCTGCCGAAAAGGGAGGACGATGGACAGTGGCGGCAATCAGATATGACATGATCGTGGCAGCAAACGAGAGGGGGAGGGAAGACTGGCCCGAGGCAGGGCCTCGCCCCTTCGCGTGGGGCAGCGGGAGCCTGGCGTTTGTTATTCTTCAGGCTTGCGCCACATCCGCCGACCCCTTATGAAGAATCGCGCAGTGGTCTGGTCGCCTCTTTGGGTGGTCTGAGGCCCCTGGGCCATTCTGGGGGCATTCTTGGGTTGTCTTGGGGCACCTTAGGCCGTCCTGTGGCAGTATTGGGCTGTCTTGGGGCTCTCTTGGGCTGTCATCGGCCTCTCTTGGGCTGTCATGGGGCGCTCTGGGCGTTCTTTTCGGCCGTCTTGGCCGTCGCCATCTGTTGCCGAGGACTGTGGTATGCCCTTGGTGACCTCAGAACTGCTTTGCGGTGTCTTTTGGAACCGTCAGGGGCGGCCGTGGGGTGACCTTCAATCGTTTCAGGCCATTGTGAAGCTATCTTGGCCCTTCCTGACCTTAAGCGGAACCGTCTCGGCGTCCTTAGAGGCTGTTTTGGCGCGCCATGAACCTCTCGGGAGCCGTCCTGGAGCTCTCGCGGGTCGTCCCGTCGCCTGGTGGACCCTCTTGGCGCGACCTGGAGGCGATCTGGGGGATTTCGGGGTCAGGTGGATCCGGTGGGGCCTTCGGCCAGGGCCCGAGGGCGGGAAATCACGGATGCGAGGCATCTGACAGCAGACCAAACCAAGCACTATTATCAGACGGGCGCAGGCCATAGGCCAGTGACATGTCGCGACTGCGACGCGCATCACAAACGCTCGCGGGTGTTCAGGTGTTCCGCGTGCCCGACAGAAGCAGATGGAAGAGGCCGGGAGTTCACGGACAGGACGCATCTGACAGATAAGCAAGTGGAGCACTTTCTCGCGAAGGGTTCGGACCATCGCCCAGTCATGTGCCGCGCGTGCCAGGAAGAACGCAATCAGTCGCGAGTGCTCACGTGCTCCGCGTGCCCGAAAGAAGCAGATGGGAAAGAGCGAGAATTCACGGACAGGACGCATCTGACAGATAAGCAAGTGAACGCCTTCTTCAAGAAGGGTTCGGCCCATCGCTCGGTGGTGTGCCGAGCGTGCCACGGGCAAAGGCAGATGGCGAAGTTTCGAAAGACCAGAAGAAGAATTATTTCCACCGGGGCAATCTGGTGGTTTGCGCCAAGTGCTATAAGGCGGGACGGGCGCCTCGAAGAGACCCGCCGAAACGCCCTGCGGAAGCAAGTGACGAGCACGGCGGGGAGCAACGCAAGTTGCGAGGAATCTGACCGCGAGTCGCGCGCGCGCGCGCCGTCTTCGGGGCTCTCTTGGGCCGTCCTCGGCCCCTCTTGACCCGTCTTGGCGCCCTCTTGGGCTGTCGCGGGGCCCTCGTGGAGGCTTCTTGGACCGTCTTGGTGCGGTCTTGGGGGGCCCTGGGGCCGCCCAGGAGCGGGGAACGCACCAAAAGGTTTGGGGCGCTCTGGGGCCGTCCAGGAGCGGGGGGCACCCCGAAAGGCGCACGTGTAAAAAATACGTTTTACGAAGGGAACGGGCGATTTTTTGCGTCTAGAGGGCCTCTCGGGGCGAATCTTGGATGCCTCTTGGGCCGTCATGGGGGCCTGTTGGGCCGTTGGGAGGCCGTCGTCGATGTTTGTGATCGCTCCTGGACCGTCTGGGACCGTGTGGAGCTTTGTGGAGGCCACTCGGAACGCTCCTGGAGCGCTCTTGGAGCCGTTTTCGGAGCCCTCTTGCGCCTGTTGGCCCGTCTTGGGGCCCTCTAGGGGTATGTGGGGCACCCTCTGCGAGGCTCCTGGGGCCGTCTGGGAGCGGGTTTGGGGGCCTCTTGGGCCGTCGGGTAGCATCGGAAAGGCCCAAAGCCGAATTTGTGAAAAATGTACGTTTCACGAAGGGAATGGGCAAATTTTTGCATCTAGAGACCCTCGTGGGGCGCATCTCGGAGGCCCTCGGGGGGGCTCGTGGGGGCCTCTTCTGCCGTCGAGGACGCCTCGTGGCCCTTCTTTGGGCCACCTTGGGCGGCTTGGAGCGCTCGTTGGGCGCCCCAAAGCCATTTTCACTAGGTTTTGCACGATTTTCGGGAGCGGATGACCCCTCCGTTCCCATCCGGGGGATCCGGCCCGACCCCCCCCCCACCTCCGTTCCCATCCGGGGGGTCAGGCCCGACCCCCCCCCCCCTCCAAATCGACCGGACCGGGCTCCCGGGGGAGGGGTTTGGGGAGGGGGAACGTCTCACACGCCGATGAACCCCAAGGGGTCGGCGGGATTTCCCCCTCCTCCGTCCTCCCTCCTCCTCCTCCCTCTTCCCCTCCTCCTCCTCCTCCTCCTCCTCCTCCTCCTCCTCCTCCTCCTCCTCCTCCTCCTCCTCCTCCTCCTCCTCCTCCCTCTCCTCTCCCTCTCTCCCCCTGGGTCCCCTGGTGCGCGCGAGCCTGCTCATGCGATCCACGGCGCTCGGGCACGGGGTCTGGGTTCCGCGTCTGGGGCCGCATGTGCAGGACAGTCTTCCTCCTCCTCCTCCTCCTCCTCCTCCTCCTCCTCCTCCTCCTCCCCCCTCCCCCTCCTCCTGCTCCTGCTCCTCCTCCTCCTCCTTCTCCTGCTCCTCCTCCTCCTCCTGCTCCTCCTCCTCCTCCGCCTCCTCCTCTTCCTCCTGCGCCCGTCTCTGTTTATCTGCGCTGGCCAAGGTCTCGCGTGTTGGCTCGCTCATTGCAGGTCGGCCTCCAGGTGACTCCAGGTTTTCCTAGCGCATGCGGTCGGGCACCCTTTTCTATTTTCATTTACATGCGTCGACATGCATGGAACCTGCCCCGAGGCGCATTCGCTCACTGAAAGCCCTTGCCCCAGGGCTCGCCGCCAGGTGGTGGTGGTGGTTGTGGTTGTTTGGGGGTCCAGTGGAAACGAGCACGGCGGTCGCAGAGAAGTTTTGAGACCCTAACATGTTCTTCTGCCACGCCACCCTGCTGTCGTGGCGGGCTGGTCATTTGCGGGGTGCGCGATGTGAGGTTTTGGCCGGGGTGGCGACGCTGGACTTGTCGGCGGTGTTTTTTTTGTTGCACGCCCCTCATACAGGTTGTGCCCCACAGTGCGCTCCACCTACGGCCCCAGAGACACAGTTCGCATGGCGACCCCCGCTCATTTCGGCACACCGCTTGCACGGATCCTGCCCCAGAGGAAGCTCCACCTATTACGTTACCACAGAGGAGGCTCGCGCAACGTGCCCCCGCGCCTTGTGGCGCTCCCCTCCCGCTTATCTCTCCCGTGCATCGTGCCCTCCTGTGTGAGCTATGCTGTGTAAGTGCAGTCGGTCTGAGGTATAAGGTCGAGGTCCAGGGAGGGTGCCCTAAAGTTATTCTTCTTCGTGTGTGTGTGTTTGTGTGTGTGTGTGTGTGTTTGTGTGTGTGTGCGTGTGTGTGTGTGTGTGTGTGTGTGTGTGTGTGTGTGTGTGTGTGTGTGTGTGTGTTGGAGGCTCTCGTGCATCTTGGGCCAGGGTGCCCTCGGATGTTCCGTGCGTTTTGGCCGGCGGAGGGCCTCGTGTTCCCGAGGGGGTGTTCTTCTCGCCTGTGTCCGACGGTCGTGCGGTGTAGTCTATGATGGGCTTGCTTTCCACCACCACCACATGCTGGAGGGGGAGGGGGTCCTCCTCCTCCTCCTCGTCCTCCTCCTCGTCCTCCTCCTCCTCCTCGTCCTCCTCCTCCTCCTCCTCCTTCCCTCCTCCTCCTCCCCCTCCTCCTCCTCCTCCTCCTCCTCCTCCTCCCTCCTCCCCCCTCCCACTTGTGGTGGCGGTGGTGGTAGAAGACGGGCCTGTCCGTCTCTGCGGCGTGAGCCGTGCAGCGTGAGCTGCGCTGCCCACTCGCGGGGCACGGGGCGCCCACGGAGGCGCCAGCACCGTGGCGCGGGCGGGTGAAAAGGCGCCGCGGCGCGCCTCGGCGCGCCTCGATTGTGAGATCGATACTGAGATCGATAGTGTAATCGATAGTTGACGATTGTAAGGTCGATCGTGAGACCGAGAGTGAAGTCGATTCAATGAGATCGATAGGGAGATCGATCGCGAGATCGCTCGTGCGATCTCTAGTGAGATCGCTTGCGAGATCGATTGCGAGATCGATTGTGAGATCGATGGTGAGATCGACAGAGAGATGGGAAATGAGATCGATGCTGAGACCGATCGATAAGAGCCCCGGGCGCGGGGGGCGCCCACGAGCGCGCAGTGGGCGCCGGGCGCGTGGCGAGACTCGGGAGGGGAAGAGACGCACATACAGACACGATGGATCGCCGACCCCCAGGGAGATGTGGGAATTCTGGGGAGTGGGGGGGGGGGGCGGAAGGCAAGAGCCCGGAACATCTGGGAGAGTATAGGGGGATCCTGTTCTTTGTGTCTATCTGTTTGTGTGTCCCGGGGCCCCTTCAGAAACTTCGGCGGACCCACCCGATTACGTTTCGGCGGCGAGCGAGGGGGGGCAGCGAGAAGGAGAAGGCCTTCTCAGAAGGCGGCGGGACTTCTCAGAAGCTCTCGCGCCTTCTGAGGAGCTTTCTGTGTCCTCGGGGAAGGCTCAGGAAACTTCTCAGAAGGCCGGGGGACTTCCGAGCCTTCTGAGAAGGCCCGCCCCTTCTCACTTCCCCCCGTGGGCTCGTCGCCGAGCATTGAAAGAGACGTGAGCACCCCTGAGTGCAAGCACTGTCTGGGGAGTGCTTGTCTTCCTCGTCGTCCTTGTTGTGGTCGTCGCCGTCGTCGTTAGTCGTCGACGTTGCCTTCCACCTCCGCTCGAGCAGGCGCTTTTTCTTCAGCGGCTGGCCCGCCTTGTCGCTGCTGCACCGCCTGCAGGACGCCCCGGGGTTGGGGCGGGTTTCTGGCTGCCTCCCTCGTCTTCGTCGTCGTCCAGGAGGAGGGAGGAGGAGAAGGACGAGGAGGAGGAGGAGGAGGAGAAGGATGAGGAAGAGGAGGAGGAGGAGGAGGAGGAGGAGGAGGAGGAGGAGGAGGGAGGGGGGGGGGGAGGGGGAGGAAGGGGAGGAGGAGAGGTAGGAGGAGGAGGAGGAGGAGGAAAAAGGAGGAGGAGGAGCAGGAGGAGGAGGAGGAGGAGGAGGAGGAGGAGGAGGAGGAGGAGGAGGAGGAGGAGAATGAGGAGGAGGAGGAGGAGGAGGAGGAGGAGGAGGAGGAGGAGGACGAGGCCTGTAGAAGGACAGGCCCGACTTAATGCTTGCCGGCCGCGGCACCTCGCCGAGAGAGCTCGAGGGCAGAAGCCGATGGGCGTTCCTCACTGAAGGGACCCTGGGACACCCAAACAAATAGACACAACTAGCAGGTTTCCCACATTTTTCCATATAGTTTTTGGATGTTCGTCTTCCCCCCCACTTCCCATATTCCCTCATATTTTCTAGGGAATCGACGATTGATTGTGTCTGTGTATATTTCTTCCCCTCCTGACTCACTCTTTTTGTTGGCCCATCGCCACAGCGGGACTCCCCCCGATGGCAGGCAACAAAAGCATCCCTGACTCTTCGGGGTACCCAGCTGGACAACTGTCCCCCGATGCAGCCACATGCAGCCACATGTCCCCCCGATGGCAGGCAACAAAAGCAACAACCTGAGCTACCCAGACCCCCTCGAGTAATGAACAACAATAATCATGACGGGAGGTTTTTCTACGTCTCGGGCCTCTGGGGGCCCTCACCAGGCCGCGGGATCGTGAACAAACCGACTCAGGATGAAAAACAGGTCCTGGGGAATGGGTCGATGCCCTTGGGGGCCGACGTCATGAAACAATCATGACGTCGGGGGTCTTGGTATCAGGCATGATGGCAACGACAGTTGCAATCTATACACGTGGCTCGCTCCCCCTCACCCCCAAGCCCAAAGTTGAAGTGTCCATGTGTTGTCCCCCGCGCGTTGCCTCGCACCCAACCCTGGCAGCTTTGAGTTGGGGGGGGGGGCTATGGATATTGGTTCGACGCAGTTCGATGTCGTATCATCTTGGTGCGATGGGTGTGGGCACTTTTTGTCCACCCACCGCGACTACTAACAAGAGCTCTTGACGTTTCGCGTCGTCGAGGATGCAAGAACCCCTAGCTCTAACTACTAGCATAGTGAAGACGTGGCCTCACTGAAGTCCCCGCCTTTGCATCAAGGGCAATACGTCTGGGTGTTTGGGTTTTGCTCCATCTGCAGAGCAAGCCCCCTAATCCCTAATGTCTTTCGCCCTCTTAACTCATGTCCCCTTCCAACGGGCTCATTAGGGGTACGTTTATTGCTTATCATCGGAGGGAGTCCGACATCCTGTTCGGTTTTGCGACATCTGCAGAAAAAGAAACCCTATCCCTAATGCCATTGGCCTCCTAACTGAGGTCGCCGCCCAAATGTTTGGGGGTGCTTGTACGGCTAATCATCGCGTATCCCTTCCAGCCAGCAACGATGTCCAGACGATTTTCCTTGATCAGGGAAGTGGGGCAGCGTGCAGTGGGACAAAGAGCCGGGGGAGCCGTCGAACTGAAGCCCAGGGTCAGCCTGAGCGGGCCCGTGAAGCCTTCGCGGAGCTTTCGCTCCGCGAGCCTCGTGGAAGCCTCTTGGAGCCATCTTGGAGCCATTCTGGCAGCGTTTTTGAACCCCGTCTTGGGGGCCTCTTGGGGCTCCTGGGGGGGGTCTTCGGGCCCTCTTGAGGGGATCTTTGAGGCCATGGTTCACAAACAGGCGAAGACTGAAATCAGCCCCCCTTTCCCCCCCTGGGAGGCTGACAAATCGCGTCTTGAGACCCCCATTCGGTCGCTCTCGGGCGTCTCTTGGGCGCTCTTGGGGCCCTCTCGGGAGCCTCGTGGGGCCATATTGGGACTCTCTTGGGCCATCTTGGGTCATTTTGAGGCCGCACGGCGAGGAGGCAAAACACACTGACAAACCTTAGGTTTTGGAATGGCTTTGGCCTCTTGGGAGGGTCCTTGGAGGGCTCCGATAGCACCTCTAACCGCCTTGGGGGCGTCTTGGAGCTTCCTGGAGGTATGTCGGAGGCTATCTTGAGCCATGTTCGGCTATCCTCAGCCTCTTGGAGCTCATCTTGGGCTATCTTGGGCCCGCTTGGGGCCATCTTGGGCCCTCTTGGGCGCTCTAACCCCCCCTCGCAACCCCCCCGTCTAGACTCAGGAAGGGGGAGAGAAGGTTCAACCTCCCCAGGAGGACCCGGAAAAGGAAACGCTCTAGACCACCTGCGCCCAGAGGGCTGGTGGGCCTATCAAAAACTTACGCCGTACATTTTCACGACTCGAGGATCCCAGGGTCTCCGCCCCCCCGTCTCGGGCACACCCGACCGCAGTAGACTTTCGCGCAGGGTCCTGGCCCCATTCGCCTCCTCCTCCTCCTCCTCCTCCCTCCTCCTCCCTCCTCCTCCCTCCTCCTATTCCCATGCCTCGTTCCTCCTCCTCCTCCTCCTCCTGCTCCTCGTTCCCATGCCTCGCTCCTCCCCCTGCGAGCCACGCGCCGGCGGCGTGGACGGCGCGCGTGGCGGTGGACGCAGGCCACGGCCCTGCATTTCTCGAGAGAGAGCCGCGCCGCTGGCGGAGGGCCTGCGGTGGAAAGGCATACGTTCGATGCTCGTTTCGGGGACCTTCCTGGAGCCCACCTAACGGATCTGTTCGACCCCAGTTCGACTCAAGTTCGACTCAAGTTCGACTCAAGTTCGACTCAGGTTCGACTCAGGTTCGACTCAGGGTCGACTCAGGGTCGACCCAAATCGACTGACGTTCGACGCAGCTTCGACGCACGAGTGGAGCGAGTGGCTCCAGGAAGGTCCCCAGAACGAGCATCCAACATACGGTGGAGGCCCATGCCAAGAAGCACCCTGCCACGGCCCGTGTCGATTCCTCCGGCTCGATCCGAGTCGACTTCGATGGCTTCCGCTTCCAAGCCGAGTCGACTCGGGATTCCGATCTGGGCTCCGGTTCCTCACTGGAGGCGTACTGGCCTGCCGATGTCGCCCGATTTGACTTTTCCCGACTTGTCTGCCGATTTCCGCCGATCCGATTCATTTCGGTCGCCGGTCCGACTTATCGATTCGATTTTGGGCTCTCCTGCCCTGCTCGCCTCCAGGATGCCCTGGTTTTCTCGGGTTTCGAGGGGTTTGCCATGGAGAGCGCGACGTTCCCACACCAAGAATCAAAGGACATCCCGGGGTCTCAGGGTTGGGGTTCCTGTGGAAGGCTTCTTGTGGACTGGCCTCCACTGTACCCCTGCAGCCGACACTTGGGTCTGGCTGGGTGCTGGTCGAAGGCGAAGCCCTCGCAAGGGTCCCGCGCTGCCACAGGCGACCGTGCCCCTGGAAGTTTGCCGTGTCCCGCGCAGCCAGCTGCGAGGGACCTCTATGACGTGGGCTGAGGCCTGCTCCTTGGGCCACTGTAGGCCCAGAGATGCAAGGCATAGAACAAATCACAGCGGAGTTTTTTCGCAGTTTTCGGCCTCTGGGGGCCCTCGCCGGGCCCGGGGACCGTCGAAAAACGGCTCAGGACGGAAAATCGGTCTTGGGGGATGGGTCGAGACTTCCAGGGACCCCGTACATTGAAAAAAGCGCGACGTCGGATCTCTGGGGGGGGTGACCCCTGGGGGTCGACGTCACGAAAAAGTCATGACGTCGGGGGCTTGGGGTTGTACGGGGCGCCCCTTCGCACGCCCGAGCGGGAGGACCTGGACCTCCGCCACGCGGCCTGCGCCCGCGCGGTGCCCGGGGCCTACGGCCTCCTGAGCCTCGCGGCGCCGGAGAGCGTCTGGCCCGCCCGCGCCCGCGCCCGCGCCCGGGAAGGGCCAAGGGGGCAGGGCGTGGGAGCGGATCGGCTCTTGGCGGGAGGAGAGGTGGTCGGGAGCCGCAGCGCCGCCTGGGGCCCCAGCAGCGCGCCTGGGCGGGGCGCGCGCCTTCGGCCAGGGCGCCCCCGCGTCCCTGCCTCTGCGGCCCGCCCTGTCCCGCGCTCGCGGGCCGCCCGCCGCCCCAGAGTCCCGGCTTCGGCCGGCCTCCCAAGGTCTTGCGTCCTCGCCACCCGTCCTCATATGAGGAGGAGGAGGAGGAGGAGGAGGAGGAGGAGGAGGAGGAGGAGGAGGAGGAGGAGGAGGGAGGGGGAGGGGGAGGGGGGAGGAGGAGGAGGAGGAGGAGGAGAGGAGGAGGAGGAGGAGGGAGGAGGAGGAGGAGGAGGAGGAAGAAAAGAAGAAGAAGAATACTAAGAAGAATAATAATAATGATAATACGAATAATAATAATAAGAAGAAGAATACGAATAATACACATAATAAGAAGAAAAAGACGAATACTAAGAAGAACACTAATAATAAGAAGAAGAATAGGAATAACAATACGAAGAGTAATCATACGAATAATAATAATAATTAGAAGAATAATAATAATACGAATAAGAAGAGGAGGAGGAGGAGGAGGAGGAGGAGGAGGAGGAGGAGGAGGAGGAGGAGGAGGGAGGAGGAGGAGAAGGAGAGGAGGAGGAGGAGGAGGAGAGGACGAGAAGAGGGGGAGGGGGAGGAGGGGGAGGAGGAGGAGGAGGAGGAGGAGGAGGAGGAGGAGGAGGAGGAGGAGGAGGAGGAGAGGAGGAGGAGGGGGAGGAGGAGGAGGAGGAGGAGGAGGAGGAGGAGGGAGGAGGAGGAGGAGGAGGAGGAGGAGGAGGAGAGGAGGAGGAGGAGGGAGGAGGAGGAGGAGGGGAGGAGGAGGAGGAGGAGGAGGAAGGAGGGAGGAGGAGAGGAGGAGGAGGAGGAGGAGGAGGAGGGGAGGAGGAGGAGGAGGAGGAGGAGGAGGAGGAGGAGGAGGAGGAGGAGGAGGAGGAGGAGGAGGAGGAGGAGGAGGAGGAGGAGGAGGAGGGGAGGAGAGGGAGAAGGAGGGGGAGGAGGAGCAGGAGGAGGAGGAGGAAGGAGGAGGAGGAGGAGGAGGAGGAGGAGGAGGAGGAGGAGGAGGACACGTCTGGACTCCGTGCTCAAATGGGGCAGTGTGTCGGCGGTAGTTATCTGTGTGTCGCCCTGCCCGGGCGGCGAGCAGCGAAGCGCCGGCCCCCCCCTCCACACACAAACCACCCACAGGGGGGGCTTCTTGCATTGGTGGCGGGCGCACTCCAGCAGGAGGAGCCCAGGGCCCCCCCCCCTCGCGCCGTGAAGAACGGGTACGGCGTGCCGTTGAGGGCCTCCCGGGAGCCCCTGCGGGGCGCCCAGGGCAGCCCCCCCAAAAGATTGCAAGCACGGAGGATGAGGCACCCAGTCCCGGACGAGTTGGTCGAGACGCTCAGCGGTCCACGCCGTGAACAGATCACGCCGTCTGTTGCCTCCAATTGCAGGCGCCCAGGGCCGCCCCCTCCCCCAAGATTGTACGGAGGATGAGGCACCCAGTCCCGGACAAGTTGGTCGAGACGCCCAGCGGTCCACGCCGTGAACAGATCACGACGTTTGTTGCCTCCGACTGCAGGCGCCCAGGACCGCCCCCTCTCCCCCAAGACTGTACGGAGGAGGAGGCACCTGGTCCCTTGGCAGTCTCTGGGGTCCCTTGCCGCCGGGCCCCGGGGCCGCCCCCAACAACTGTGCTGAGGATGAGACATCCAGTCCGGGAAACTTTGGCCCCGAAACGTCCGGGGGCCCTCGTTGTGAGCAGATCACGACGTCTGTTGCTACCGTGTGCAGCCTCTGTGGGGGCCCCTGCCGGGCCCTGGGGGCCGCCCCCCACGAGTAGATTGAGGATGGGGCATCTGGTCCGGGAACAGGACACGCCGAGACGTCCCGGGGCCCACGTTGCGCACAGGTCACGGCGTCGGGGGTCCTGGGAGGGAGGGATGGAGGGATGGAGGGGTGGAGGCATGGAGGAGGGGATGGAGGGATGGAGGGATGGAGGGATGGAGAGATGGAGGAGGGGATGGAGGGATGAAGGGATGGAGGGATGGAGGGATGGAGGAGGGGAGGCGCTGTCGGCGCAGAGCAACGGCGAGTGGCCACGGCGTGGCCCAACCGTCTGCACCTCGTGCCCACACCGTGCGCTGCCTGGCGCTTCGGGGCTGTGCTGGTGGCCGCCTCGTGGCGCTCGCCGCAGTCGTGACCAGCACGGTGCAGGTGCTCGTGCTGGGACGCCGTCGGGGTCGGATGACCCGACCACGCTGAAGCACGCGGGCGGTCCGCTCGGGTGATCGGCTGCCGACGAGGCCGGCCGCGCAGTCGTTGGCGGTGTGGTCTACTTGTCTTCGGACCCGTCTGGAGCTGCGGGTGGCGTGGGCCTCTGGCATGGTCCTGTTCTGGGTTGCCGTTGTTGTGGCGACGCTGGCTCCCGATGGAGGGCCGCGCGCAGTGCTGCCCTCGCAGACTGAAGCACCGGCGCGACAACGCAACGCAACACCACGTTATTGTTTGAAAAGTCATGCGCCCAATTCGGAACCAGTCGGGCACAGTTCGGGCACCACAGCTTACTTGGGCCCGTTCGCCCGCGAGTTGCGGTCGCTCCGCCCGCTCCGGCCCACCGCGCTTCAGCGCTACACGCTGACCGCGTCTCGAATCCCGGCGTCCACACGCCGAGTCTTTCCCAACCTCCCGCCCCGCGTGGCGGAGCGACATTCTATCAGCTCGCAGGGCACAGCGTGTCGCTGGGGCCGCTGCCGCGACACACTGAGCAAACGTTCCCGACAGTAGAGGACAGAAAGGGTGGGGCGGGGGGCTTGTCCTTAAGTGAGTCCAGCGCTTGCATTTTACGTAGGACATGGTGGTCCTCAGATGCCGAATGTGGCGCCTTGTATCGCAGAAAGAGTTCCCGAAACCGTAAGCCGCACATCTGCGAATTGAAGAGAGTGCTGGTCGATAAGGTGCGGCGTATTTCCGGTCTGTACGTTTACATGCACGTCGCAGTGGAGTCGCTGCAGCCTGCGTGGGCAAACTGTTACAGCCAAGAAGAGCCTTCTCACAGCACTGCGTGATCTGAAGGCGCATGGGCTCCTTATACGGCAAATGCGTGGACTCAAAGATACCAGGGGCTTCATTCAATGCTGGGATATGATTACTAGCAGTGGCAGCAGATGGTCGATGTAATCCAGTTTTGCGATACGTACGCGTCCAGATGTTTTGTACTCGCCTATCGATTTCGTGCCCGATGGCTGGGCCCTACAGCAGGCTAGCGCCGAGCGTGGACACGTTGCATACGGTGTGTGCAAGTGCCGGCGTACTGATATTGTGAATGGATTGGAACAGTTCCCGTGAGACGACGCATCAGATCTTCATGACTACGTGGGCGGTTTGTACAATATGATTAAGACGTAGCGTCGGACATGCTGGATGCACAATGAAGTTCGCGATTACAGGGGATGTACCACTGTTGCTGAGCATGCTGAGCATGGGCTTGACATCGAAATCATCCATGGAATTTCTCCGCCGAGGAGCGACGCTTCGTCAACATGGCCCTGCGGATCATACCAAATGCCATCCCAACCCTGGAATATCTATCTATCTATCTATCTATATATCTATCTATCTATCTATCTATCTATCTATCTATCTATATAGCCTGCCAACTGCCACGCCAGGCAAACGCGTATACTGGGGGGAGCGTTTCGGCGCAGTGCCAAGGTATCTGGCGATATTTCATGCGGAGAGAAGAGGTGAGCAGCGTGCGTTCTTGTTTTTTTCGTGCATGGGGCGCTGCCGAAAATCTGGATAGCGTGTCGAACCCATCCACATAACTAATTGCTTTCTCAGGTCGTGATCTTGTGAAGAGTGTCGGTCAGGCGAGTGAGAGCAGAGCGCGGCCGGAGGAGGGAACGCGGAGGATGCGAGAATGTGGGGGTGGGGGGATGCATGGCACGGGGCGGGTCGTCGTTACAGTAGGGGCGTTCGTTAGGGAGTGTGCCCAGGAGGCTTCAGACCTTGGAGGGCCCCTTATCTGACGAGGGCGGCGCTGTTATCCATGGCCACGCCTCAATTGGTGTTCAACCAGACCATGCGGTTTTTATCCTAGGTTTCCTTCTCCGATGCGCTCACGGTATAGAGATACGCTGAGGTGAGACTCCGGGTTTCAATGCGCGCCAGGCAGGAGCATCGAATGGTGCCTGAAGCATCCCATTATCGTGGCGCGCCGTGCAACACTTCTCCCGTGGTTTCGTGCAGTTCGTCAGGGTGGTGCCTATTCGTGAATATTCAAACACGTGTGCATTCGATGCTTCTCAGGTGCAGCGCGGCAGGGTAAATCCGGAAAGCTCGAGGCGCTGAGCATATCTGTTGGCAATTCTCCACACCTGCCCTCGTAACATCTGCCCCCTGGATATTCTGTAACGCGCGCGTATAGGACATAGCATGGGTTGGTGATATCTTCTGAGACTTGAAGGTGTACCTCCGCGTTGCTTCCCGCAAGATCGTTCATTATCGTTTTCTTCGTGCTTCTCCTCCTCATCGCTCCCGGTGGATGCCCGCGGAGGATCTGGTCAAACCCGTGGGAGAAAAGGATTCGCCGGGACGGCAAAGAGGAAATTGGAGCAGGAGGAGGAGGTTGAGGAACAGGAGGGGGGAGGAGGACGACGAAGAGGAGGAGGAAGAGGAGGAGGAGGATGACGCGGAGGATGGAGAAGAGGAGGGGGGAGCAGGAGCAAGTGGAAGTACAGGCGGGGAGGGGGGGAGGTACAGAGGGGGAGGAAAAGGAGCAGGAGGAATATATTATATATATGGATGGAGGATGGGGGAGAGAGGGAGGAGGAAGGCGGAGCAGCGAAATGCAATGCTGGCGACGATGAGCTCCCGTACGCCTTGATGAGTTCCCCTTCCACCCTGCCTCTTGCCTCCGTGCCCCCTCCCTCTCTCTCTCTCTCTCTGTCTTGCTCTCTTCCTTGGCCCGCCCACCCTGACCCGACCGAAGGCTCTGCGTGCAGCGCTCCCCCGACATGGTGTATGAGCGGTGAGCCGAGCTGTGGGCTTCCCTCGTCGTCGTCGTCGTCGTCGTCGTCGCCGTCGCCGTGGTCTTGGTCTTGGTCGTCGTCGTCGTTATCGTGCTGCCGTCCGCCGCCTCCTCCTTCTTCCTCCTCCTCCTTCTCCTCCTCCTCCTCCTCCTCCTCCTCCTCTCCCTTTTCTCCCTCTCCTGCACCACCTCCTTCTCCCCCTCCCTTCCGCCTGCTCCTCCTCTTCCTCCCCCTCCCAATGGTGGAGGTCCAGTGGGCCTCATTTCATCAACCTTCCAGCAGGTAGTTGCGTAGCAGCAATCATCAGTGGCACGGCGTAGCCTTGCTGAAGCACGTGTCTCCATGAACTCGATACCATTCCATTCCGCTCGGTTCCATTCCATTACATTGCATTGCATTCCATTATATTCCATTCCGTTCCGTTCAATTGCATTGCACTGTCCATTCCATTTCATTCCTTTCCATGTCTGTCCATTCCACTCCATGCCATGTCATGCCATTGCATTGCATTGCGTTGCATTGCATTGCATTGCATTGCATTGCATTGCATCGTTTTGCATTCCGTTCCATTCTATGCCATGCCATGCCATGCCATTCAATTCCATTACATTCCTTTCAATTCCATGCCGTGCCATGCCATGCCATGCCATTCCATTACATTCCATTCGATTCCCTTCCATTCCATCCCATCCCATTCGATTCCACACCACTCCATTCCATTCCATTCCATTCCGTTCCGTTCCTTTCCACACCATTCCATTCCATTATATTCCATTCCGTTCAATTCCATTATATTCCTTTCCTCGTCTTTCTCCCTCTCCTTCCTTTCCATTTCCTCTTCCTCTCCCTCCCTCCCTCCCTTCCTCCCTTCCCTCTCTCCGCCTCCTCTTCCTTGCTTTGTGGAGTTGCACAACGGATAATTGACACACCACCTGCTTCACAAGGCCTTGGAGCAAAGCTCTGCGGTGCTACTTTGTCGCGTCCACGGGCATGCCAGAACCCACTTATTGGACCCCTGAGCCAAACGATTGAGCTACGGATTCCAAGACAATCACATCCGAATCGCTGCTAAGACACCTCACTGCCAATTCAACTCACGATTCCTCTGAATGCAAACAACAAATCCTCTTCCTCCACCTCCCTCCCTTCCCTCCAGTCCGCGCGGATTTCTTGGATCTGCGTTGGGTCCCCTTGAGGTGCTTTTGGCGCCGCCCCTGGCCCGCTCCGCGCGTTAGAGATGGGGGTGCAGCGCCAATCTACAGAATCCGCGCGGAGCACCGAAAGTTCATGTTCACGTTTATGTTCTTTGCTTCTCTAACCCAGTGGGACTTGGCATCCACACTGCATCAGCAGTGAAGGTTCAGTGCTGGAGCACTGGGACCTGGTCAAGTACAGGGACAACATTAGAGCAAGTGCAGCAGGCCACCAGACTCGGGTGCCGCAGAAACATCGAGGCCGCCGGCGTCCCAACGCGTCTTCGGGCTCTGGAGGTCGTTTCCCGGGCTCTTTGGCTGTCAGCAAGAACGATTCGGGATGAACATTTGGCCTCGGGATTTCCACGACATGTGTCGGAAATGGATGAACCCTGCTCTTTGTCGAGCAGATCGCTGGTTCACCCCAGTGGTCCCCGTCCCGCGCCAGATGGTTGCAGCGACAGACGGCCGATGCAGCCTCTCCGGACCCGCCCCAGACATGCGACGTCCTGATTTTGTCAGGACGGCGTCCCTGGAAATCCCGACCCTTTCCCCGGGGCCGGTTTTTCATCCTGAGTAGTTTTTTGACGGTCCTGGGGCCCGGCGAGGGCCTCTAGAGGCCGAAAACGGCGAAACATATCCGTCCTGGATGTTTTACGACGCGATCATGTCTGGGGCTGGGTCCACGCGGAGCCCTCGAACGGGTCCTTCCCGACGATCTGCTGCTTTGCTGCTTGCGAAGCCGAGGCCCTTCCGCCGCTCGCTGAGCTGATGAGCCTGTTTTCCACCACCACCACCATAAGTGAGGAGGAGGAGGAGTAGGAGGAGGAGGAGGAGGAGGAGGAGGAGGAGGAGGAGGAGGAGGAGGAGAACCCCCCCCTTCCAACACACGGTGGTGGTGGTGGAAAACACGCCCATCATGAGCGTCGGTCCATCGCGTCTGCAGCGGCTGCGGCCTCGCAGCGGAGCGGACGGCCGGCGGTGTGGCCTGCAGCCTGCGGCGGGCGGCGGCGCCGCCGTCGAGAGGCGGACCTTCTCCGCGGGAGGAGCTTCGTTCGTGCTTTTTGGGAATTCTCTCCTCCAGAGGCGCAGCTCGGGTCCCAGGAGATCGTCGATGATTGATCCTGGATATGAAGCAGCTTGCCAGGATAGGGCCCCAGACAGGGGGCGCAGGGGCGGACGTCGCGTGTACTTTTTGGGGGGCAGAGGGACGAGGAGGCGGATGAGGAAAAGGAGGGGGAAGCGGAAGACGACGACGGCGACGACGGCCGCGACGGCGACGACGACGACGACGACGACGACAACGACGACGACGGGGGCGACGGCGGCGGTGGCGGCGACGACGTCGACGACGACCGCCACGTCCACGACAACGACGACGAATATTACGACGTCTACGACGACCACCACGACGACGACGACCACAACGACGACGATCACGATGACGACGTCGGGCGGATGGGGTGCGTTGGCGGTATGGTGGGAGGCAGGAGGATCAGGTAGAGTAGGAGGAGGATCAGCGGGACCAAGATGCGGATGAGGATGTTGAGAAGGACGAGGACGGCGCGCCCTCTATCAGTGTATACCAGCCGGATTGTTTCAAAGCGAATGGGCGCGTCACCATGGCGAGCCAGCCACCATTGTGAGGACCAACCGCCGCCCGTCCGTGTAGCTGTGGGGGGTTCCTCTGTCTCAGCATCGCTTGCGGTGGGGAAGTATGAGGCGCAACGCCTGGGCCGCCGTAAAGACACATCTCCTGTTTGGTGCGACGGGAGGAGAAGCTGTTTAAAGTGGAGATGCTCATCAGGAAACCGGATGCTGTTCGTCAGGGTGCACTGGTCGGGGGTGGACAGAATCCCCTACAGTGGCACGTCGATGAGTGAATTGTCCGTTCTCGGTTCTCAAGACGGCGCCGTGGTCCTTATTTTCCTGGCCTGCGCCCGCCAGGTTTGGGCCTCGGGTCGTTTTCACTAAACCACGTTTTGCTAAAGGGGGGTCTGTCCATCCCCGATGCTTGCGCCCAGCCGCGGGGCCTTCTCCCCGCTCTTTCCTCGATGCGGCGTGATGGAGCCGACCCCGAGCCACACCTCCGGATGAGCGGTCTGGGAGGTCGCCGCGGCGATCGCGGTGGCCGCGAGTCGGGGCGAGGCGTGTGTCTGTCCATCCCCGAGCCTCTTTTGCGAGGTGCTCTTGCGGCCGCGCCCGCACGGTGCGCAGGAGGAGGAGGGCATGGGAGCCTACGGGGCGTGAAAGCGACCACAGCCACTGCTTTTCTTCTGTTGCCACCTTCCAGCCCGCAGAGGGAAAGCAGTGGTTGTGGTCATCTTCGTTGAGCTTGGCGCCAGGGAAATGACCACAACCACTGCTTCTTTTTCGGCCGGCTGGAAGGCGGCGCAGACAAAAAGCGGTGGCTGTGGTCATTTTCCCGTCCCGCAGAGCCGCAGGTGGGGCGGGAGGCGGAGGGTCGGCAGACGGACGAGACTCGGAGTGCAGCGCGAGGGCCTGGAGGTATTGCTGTAAAGCCGGGCGGCCGGGCGGCCCTGTGGGGTCACGGTGTGCCGTGGGCCCAGTGACTTCTGCCCTGGACTCAACGAGCAGTGGCGAGGCGTCCTGGCATGCCTAATAGGCCCACCGAAGAAGGTTCTAAGAACCTTTTGGGGTCTGCACGACATGTTCTTAGAGCATTTCTGGCTGGGACTGTCTTGTTTTGGCACGTCGGGGTTATGTTCTGAGGACATTGTTTTTGTTATGAGAACAGCTTTGGGTTCTAAGAAAAATTCGTGGTAGCCTATAGGAATGCCAGGACGGTCGCTCCCTGCCCAAATCTATCCTGGACTCCACGCGCGTACAGAGCAACACGCGTGCCGCTAGCAAGGCCCTCGGTGGGGCCCGGTGAGGCAAACGGCCGTGGAGGTGGGGAAGCGCTGCTGCAGACCCTTCTCTCTCGCCCGTGCTGCTCTGTGCATGCAGCTATCTTGCCAGACACCGAATTCAGACCGATCTTCGCATGATGCTCCAAGCAACGTGAAGCAGAGCAAGCGCGTGCGCCAGTGAATTTCTTGAACGATGTAGCTGCAACAGGCTGGGAATCCCACGCGTCGATCCTCCGGGGTCTCGACCCATTCTCCGGGACCAGATCTTCATCCCGACTAGTCTTTCTGACGATCCCGGGTCTCGCCGAGGGCCCCATGGGCCGAACGCCGCACACGACCTCGCGTCGTGATGTCCTCACGACGAGGGAAGGTCCGGCCGGGTGCGCCGGCGGCAGGTGGCGGAACCAGGGCGTGTTCGAGGACTGCGAGCACATCGTGGGCGAGCTCCAGCGGCGCGGCGTCCAGGACAGGCGCCCCCCTCCTTCGCAGGCGATTTTCCTCCCCGAGCCCCCGATTTTTCGGCGAACAATAAGCCTTAAGATGCACCTCCAGGATTAAGTCGGGCATGCC